GGAGACGTGTCAGATTACTGTAGTTTGTTCATTCAAACATTTTATGGCTTACTATTTAGCTATCTTACCATGACCGATGTAACATCGCAACCGAAAAAACTTGTCAAATCAACCAAATCATTACTGTACCATGAATGCTTCTATCTCCAACACTTCACACAAAAAAATAACTCTTGCACGCCTTGCGTGCCTATGTTTTACTATGAGTAGCCGTTGCGCAAGGGACAACTAGACAGCGAGTTTCGTCCGTCGCCAGGGCTTACGGAGAACTCTGTTCCCAGTCTTCCTCAACATCTCCTTTCTGTCACGCTGTTTAATAGTCAGGAGTCACGCTAGTGTGCAAGGCAAGACACAGTTCATCTTCAAAGTGAAGTTCAGCAGCTACAGTTGTTGACGCTGGGGTGCAAACAGATTCATTAGAAGGGCCATTAGAAGAGATACAAGGCACAGACAGAGTGAGAGAGGAAGTGGAAGCTTTTTATAAAGCTTGTGATCTTCCTGATGCCCTTGATGATGTTGATGATGACAAGGGATGATCACCTTTTTGTGACTGACTGTTAAATCATCCTATGTCAAATCTAAACTTAAGTTGTGTAAAACATATTTGTTTGTTGAAAGCATTCATAGACACAGACAGTCAAAAACTTACTGGCATGTACTATAACAGTTTGGTCTTTAAATTTTTGACTGTCAAGCAAGATATTCAAGAATTTTCTCATAGAAATGAAGTACAGAGGGTTATAAGATTTAAAGAAATTAAAAATGTATCTGTTTGTCAGCTTGAAATGTTTTTTCATTATAAAAGCATACGAGAATTGAGAGTGACTCCCAAACACTTTTCAGAGTCTTGTAAATGCCATAGAGAAAGAGAATACTCAGTATGTATACAATAGCACTATTTAAGTTACAGTGGTTTAAAAATTGCATAAAGTAAATTAGTGTAATATTGGGAACAATTTTTGTTGGTAAGTTATCCTGAAACCTCCACCTGTACATCACCCCCCTCCCAAGAGGGGCCTAACTCCAGAAAATCATGCCCCCTGGCTACTTTCTTCATTTCCCCACCTACTGGAAAATTTAGTGATAGCCCTGGTGTTTTATCTTTATTCATGCAAAGAAACAGCCATGCAAGGCATGTACAAAAAATCTATTCATTGCCACTAATTGGATACTTTAATGGTCAAAAGATTTTAGGCCACCATTCCTGGCTGCACATGTACAATGTAAGTTCCCTGACCCCTCACATTAGCTTCTTTCGTGAAAACTTGAGCATTTGTGAATTAATAATTAATTATTATGTATTTTTGATAAAAGGAAAATCGTGAATCTGAAGAGTCACAAGGATTACCAGTAGGTAAGATATTAGCATGCATGCTGCCAACTTAAATGTAAAGACATTAGAGAGTTGAATGTAAATTAAGTGGTATTCATGGAGGCTGCTGACCTACCCTGGGTACCAAAGGTTTTTTCTCGCGTGCAGCAGACAGAAATACTTAGGAAATACTTCGCTTCAGCGGCCAAAGGCTGCTGGCACAAGTGGTGTAGGTCACAATAGAGACATGACTGACACCAGAAACCACGCAAGAAAAACCTCTGGCACCCAGGGCACTGCTGGCCATGTGAGTGAAAATGCTTTATAGTGTAACATCATGTACACAAACCACAATACTCCACTTTGCTCTGACACAACCTTGATCCCAGGCACTCTCCTTTTCCTCGAGTTCCTGAGGGAGGCAAAAGGGATGCAAAGGAGAGAGAGCCTGGGATAGTTAGCTTGGGCTAATGGTTGGTTTCAGGAAATATTCATACCCATGCCATGGGCAGCATCTTGGAATTCTGAGGGAGAGGAGGGTTTCTTGAACTGGAATTCTGAGGGCATTGGAGGAGGGGGTAGGGGGGAGGAGTAGCACAGTTTGGAATTCCAAAAGCATGCCCCAGGATTTTCAGCTCTGACATTCCAAGCTATACATCATGGATTCATTTCATCAGCAACATCAACTGGAAAAAGTAGTTTAGCCTCAGAACAATCAATAAATGAAGATAGTATGACAACCGCATTTCAGCACCATGGCAAGGTAGATTTGGGTGATAAACCAACAACAAGGAGAAGTTCATTAAAACAAAGCATGTTGCCTTTGGTGGCACAAGGCAAGGAAAAGCCTCTCTTGTTAATGATTTTATCGGAAACAAGTTGTAAAGAAGAAACAACAGCACTCGTCCATGGATTTATGCTAACCACTGAGTGAGCTGTTAAATAAATACAGGGTTATTTACCTGTACATGTAAAAGACCTCACTTGATCTTAGATATCTGATTATTGTCAATTGAACAATACAATGTATGTCTTAATCATTGTGACTACATGTTTTGGAGTTCTGCCTTGTGGTGCATATATTGTTTGTAAGATTTTTAATTATCAGTGCTATGAGCCTGGATATTTGGTGCTTTTTTCAACATTGTTTGCCATTGTAGCCATTTTGATGAATTTCTGTGTGAATTTAAGGATCTTTTTTTTTTTTTTTTTATAGANAAAAAATCTAAAGTACGACGCCGTGCTAATTCGTCGCTTAATTCGTGAAGTCAGTCAAGTCCATTCTGGGAGTGTAACTACCATTTTGAAAAACAGAGACATTAAAATAACACAATGATATGGAACCAAATTATAATAAACTATTTTTTTTTTTTTTTTTTATCCAGCTACAGTTTTAGCAGCAACCCAAAGACTTAAACAGATATCTTCAACTGCTGATCAAAGGCATTTAACTGGAAAGGGAGGTGCCTTGCATTCTTCTGTCTCAAGTGCCAACTATAGAAGGGAACCTGAATTGTTTTGGAGAGGGAAGGAAGATTCAAGAACGCAGGCAGATTACACCAAAGGAGGCATTTTGCAGCAAGGTCCGTCAATGGTACAGAAAAGGCAGAATGATCCTGTTTTCCAGACAATTGCTGACCCAGGTAAACAGGTGTATTTATTTTTAAATAGCGGGGTCATAAACACTGGGATTTTTTTCTACATGTACATTACCACACAGTATTGCTCAATTTTTGCAGATAGCTGCTTTATTATTGCCTCTTGGATTTACATTTGGATGTTGGTTAAATAACTTTAGAATCCTCTTTGAGTAACTAGTTTTATAATTACTTGAAAGTACAACAAGAAGAAAGGAATTTTTGTTACCTAGTAACAACATTTTCCCTTTTTCCTCATTTAAAGAAAACAGTGCAGAAAATAGTATCAGCGACTTTCTTAGTTGTTTTGCTAATAATTTTTTCCCTCCTTCTAGATAGGAAATGGCAAGCTTTGATTTCAAATCTGGATTGGAATCATGTAAATAAGAATAGTTTAAGGTGGGCTCTTTAAAGATACTCTAACCTAGAATAAACTTTGATAATTGTTAATGAGATGTCAAAATGTTTTAATTTCCAGTTGTACAAGCATCACTGAAGCCAGTTTCCATGACATGTAGTCAACAGGGGAAGTTAATTGCTCAAACTACAGAGCAAGGAAGTTCTTTGCAGCAGGCTCCTCCAGCAGCAGCACACAAAAATGTTCCTGCCAAGGATTTTTTCCCACAAACAGCATCTACAAAGAAGCCATCAGTCAGTGAAAGAAAGAGAGAAAGTCACCCTCATTGGCACCAAGAATTTCCAGTAAATATGATTAATATGTGTAAATTTACAAGTTGCTTTTAATATTGCCTCATGATAGTAATTGCTGTTGTCAATTAGCCGGAAAACAAAACCAAGCAACCATTTGAAGCATCAGTTCATTCACATTTAATTAATTCACTGGCAGAGGTCAGTTTGGTTACAGAATCGTGTAAAGAACAAAACGGACAATAGTTATAAGTTAAGGCTGTTAATTTACAAAATGGGAAATCTCAGCAAAGACAGGACTAAAAGCTCACCAAGCTACTCCGCTCAGATGAAATGCACATGGTCCGAGCAGAGGTCTGGCAAGCAATGCCACATGACGGACGAAAGTGTTTGTTTTATCAGCAACAGTTAATATATAATACCAAATACGTTTGTCAGAATGAGTAGTTTAACAATTTTATTTGTAGAACTCAAATGTTTACAATGAGGCTGAAGGCTAAATGAACTGGTAGACTTTTGAAATAGCCCCTTAGCTATGTTGTGCTGTTTATTTGCAAGACAGGAAAAGAGAAATGAAGGAAGAGTTAACACTTTACTTTTAAAGGACTGAAAAAAGCTATTTCTGGTATTGTCCTGACAGCCATAATGTTCTATTGTACTAATATAATGTTCTATTGTTTTTGAAAAAGCAAATATGCTATAAGTTCTCCAAATTCAAATTGATATTTAAATTGAATTACTAACAGTACCTCAGTGAATTAATACATGTTCACCAGAACTAATGGCAGAAAAAAATATCTTCTAGCGTCCAATATTACTGTCATTTCATGCCATTGACTGAGACATTTGAATAGCTAGCCTTGTTTGGTATGGAAAACTGAACCTGCCGCTGCAATTATTTAAATTGCCAGTTTGCCATGTTTTTTCAGGTGACTAAAATAACATAATACATGTATTGTGCGAAACAATCTTTACTGCCTTCAAATAAATTAGTGGTGTGACATTACCTGTTTCCAAAGGATAATGTGCTGTTTAGCAATCTGTGAAACCTGAGCAATCATTGAGTATTGTGGTCTTGTTAAGCTATTGTGTTATTTGCTCTGGTGATAAGCTTAATTAATGCAGAGTACACTATTAGGATGGCTTGGGGGCTGATGTCCACTAAGCACTAAGGCAATAAGGCAAACCGGGAGTGAACCGGGCAAGCATGCGGACATGTGTGACTATCATGCCATGATCATATTCTCTTGGCCAGAGGTGTACATTGTTCTCTGCACTTTAGTCTATCTGAGATTGTCTCACTAGTTTTCACCGATACTACTAATTTTTGTTTAACAATATAATTTGGACTTGAACATATCATGATGAGTGACCTTACAGTCACTTGATTAACTAAGGTCTATTATCATCTGCTAATTCATGCTCGATTATTACAAATTCCCCATAATTATTATTTTTCAACTCAAAATGATTTTCCTTGGATTTGCTCTTCAGTCATTTACTATATTCAGTAGTTTTGAACTCCTGCCATTTCAAACTACCTTATTTTTTGTTTCCCCAGAGAGTTTGAAATAGCAGGGTTTAACTGGAATGGAGCATTATATTAAGTTTCATAATTACATTTTTTTTCATTATTTAATATTTTTTCATTTAAATCTGTTTTGACTCCTGTAGCTGCTTTTGGGTTTGTCTGAAGGGGAGACTACAGACACTGGATTTGATTCTATGTTGGAAAATGAGTCAAATGTCCAGTCAAGAGGTTGGTATAATTCATGGGGGATACATATATTTTATTGACAAAGTGAGACGCCATCATGCAACCAGTTTACGCCAGAAGTACATGTGGCATTCTGTGAAGTTGAAGTAATATCTGAAACTGCAAATTTTCAATCCTAGTTCTGTAGTGAATGTGTCAACTTGAAAGCCGCGAGCCAATGAAATAACAGAACCCCTGGCGTTCACAGTATGCAAACTTGTGCTTCGTGGACATTAATTTTCTTGACCAAAAAAAATTGACCAATATAGTCCCGCGAAGGTTTGAAGTAACCTTAAGTGGAACAGATCAAAATAATCGTGGCAACTTTTTATCATGTTACATGTATATGCTCTAATTATAGGACTTGTATCACTTGGCCTTCTTTTTGTCTGATACTTGAAAAAATATTAACTGTTAAATATTAAATTGTTGCAGATATTGTTCATCGAATAAGTCCCTGTAAAGGATCCACAAAGGTATTTTTAAAAATGTTATTTATTAAACATAGGCTTATAAAGAAGATCTACTGTAATTAGGTTTGAGCTATTTAACAATTAGATTACGAGCTCGAGATTTCTATGAGGTGATAGTTGATTAGGCTGAAGGCTGAATCAACTATCACCTCATGAAAATCGAGAGCAAATAATCTAGTTGTTTTAGTAGAATTCTTACTGAAGTTTACTTCAAATAATGGTTTCCAATTATTTCTCGACATTATTAAACTATTATTATTAAACTTTGCGCATCATTTTTTTTTCCAATAATTTCAACCTTTTTTAATGTCAAGAAACTGTAAATGTCCTTCGTTTAGTCTCCTCAGGAATTTAATTGTATTATCCATTTGCATCAAAACGTTGGAAACGTTGGAAACGAAACGTTGGAAAAACGAAAAAAACATCCCCATTTTGTGGACAACCTCCAGCCACTGCACACTAACGGCTGATTGTGTACAATGGCTCAGCCAATCAGATAACAGCATTTGCATTAGTATACTAGTAGAATTCTACTAATTATCATTATGGATCATTTTCTAAAAGACCTGAGATCCATTAAAAAAAACACCAAAACACATAACAGCTCTGAATTCATGTAAAAAAGATCTACATTTTAAAAACACACGACCTGCATGCATACACTGACTTCATATTTACCAGTCAAACTTTACAAAAACAAACATGGCTGGCCAGCATGTGGGGAGTTACAAGCTAAGAAAAACAGTCAGTCTGTAACCAGGAATGAACAGGTTTAACCTCTAAAATCATTTTAACAAACACAACTTACAATTTGGCCAAAGCTGTTTTCTTTTAGCCAAGAGTATCTCTATTCTTCAATAAACCCAAGCTAGGTTTTGGTGTGTAACTGAGCTGGAGCACTTCTGGTTTAGTAAAATTTGATAAGTGTCTTAAGAGCATCATAAAATTTTTGAAAGGTTATTGTCAATAGTCTGGATTGGAAAAGTCCTGCAAAGAATTTATTCTCCACAGATTGCCACCTTCAGGGCTTGAAATTGCGACTCACTGGTCGCCAATGCGACCAAAAATTGAGCACTGGTGACTAAATTTTCAGAACTGGTCGCCAGCTGGCGACTCGCGTTTTGTCCGATAACTAAATAAAACCACGACACAACTTTTGTTTTTAAATCTTCATTTTAGGAAATCAATCGGATATGGTAGCTAGTATACAACTCACCTTTCCATCCCCAGTAAAATAATGTCTGAATATTACAAGATAATCGAAAAAAATTGAGTGTATTTCAACATGTCGATACTGCGTTCACGGCGCACCATATTGTTTCAGCGGCTTCTTCCAAAACTGGGATCGCAGGCGCACTTCAACACCATGTGCTTTTCATTTGCCGCCAAAATGGCGGCAGATACCAATCAGTTGAAGGAATTACGTGAGTCTTTGCATGCAGGGAATGAAGATTCAAGCATGGTGTTGTTTGTCGGCAGCGAAAAGTGTCAAGGAGAGCAAGTCGAAAATAAAGAACGGCATTTTGAAGAAGTAGAAAGGGAAAATACGCAAGGACCATGTTTGTCTCACAATGGAAACCACGGACTAGAAACGTTTTATACTTCGCTTCATTTAAAATGACTATGGAGACAACCATCACCTTAGGACCAGAGACGTATCACCTGAGAACAACAGTAGCTTTCTGTAACTAAGTGTTACTCGTGTTGTTTTTAATTGTTTTCGCTCTTCAATTGTGACTTTTCTTGCATGCGAAGTAACGTATAAAATCTTGTTCCTGTGTAAGTTATATATAAAATAAGTTGGCGACCAAAATTTATGATCTTGCAACCAAAATTTTTCTGTTATTCGCCAGCTGGCTCTCGAATGAAAAAGTTAATTTCGAGCCCTGACCTTTCTGGACCATAAAATTAATTCTCTCTTATTTTAACCCCTCTACATCATGGCCACCTGTCCACAACAGCAAGGTGGGTGCTGTGAAGAGATTCAAATTTCTAAATTTGGATGGTGTATATTATTCCCATTTTCTGTGAACAGGGTGGAGACGAGTTCTATATACTTTTGCGGGACATTGTTCCTTTGGAAATTGATTCATATGTGGCTTGTTTTGAAAATTGTGGAACAGTGGACTTAGAGCAAAGTGTGAACCCTTTTACCTTGAGTGGTATTACTCCAAGTAAGTTTAGTCTTGCATTATTAATTCTTATGTTTATTCTTCCTATGTATTTTTTTTTTTTGCTTTCATGTTTAATTGCTCTGCTCATTAGAATGTCTGTGAACAGGTTATTTGTACAATTTGTTTCAGTTAAACGAAATTGTTGAAAAAAATAATTAAATGAAACTGGCATTGATATCTATATGTATATGCATGTTACTCATATGTAAAGTTAAATATGTCATGCCTATGTATCTCACTACTACTGACAGCCAACAATTACGGGTACTTACAGTTATTTGTAAATGTATGTTAGTGTCCCAAGGTGGGGGGGGGGGNTAATATCTTAAAATTCAAACAGGTGTGTGCTGCGAAGGGTCTTAAATACTGAACCTATTTAAGGATGGAGCAGATGAAAATTGATACCCTATTTATAGTCCAAGCCAGAAAAATGACACCCTACTCGGGGAAAAAATAAAAACTTAAACAATAGCATGAATGGGCCAACTTCATTTCGTTTCTAGTGGAAGTTAAGCATCAAGCTTAAAAGACAGATCAGTCTTTTTGTTTAGCTGGGCATTTATGTCCGTTATGTTAGTGTATACCATTTAGGTACCCCATCTAAGGATCACACTGGGAATACAATGCCAGCAGGAGCAGACATTATACCCAATTTGAGGATCAAGAACCTCAGAAACCATATACCCCCTATTCCTTGGTGCATACTTCTAATTTATAGCTGATATATAGGAGTACCCCCATCCCCCAGGGTTAGTTGTAGTACCTTAGCATGTAGAGGGTCACTGGGTTTTGGTCATGATCACTCTCAAATATGATTTTGAAAGCTTTGAAATGTTAACCGTGTGAACAGATACCGGTAGATTTCATTGGCTGTTTTATTGAATGTTATTACATTATTTTGTTGACTTTATGAGCAGCACCAAATTAAATATAAACCCCCCATGATGATTTCAGCGTAAATTTTTGCTCATCATTATTTTGGTCATTGCTTGCTTATCATTGGCAGGATTTGACGACTAATCAGCCGATTATATTATTCAATGATAACCATTGATTACTCACTGATGTCATTGATCACAGTGCTTGAAATTAATAGTCAATTTTTATGACCAAACATTTTACCATGAAACCATTTTTGGGTGAAAGTGAGAGTCTGCTTTTTTAAAATTGTATTTGCTCTTTATAATTTTTATATTACATTACAATTGAAGGCTTTCATGCAAAAAGGGGCATATATAGCATTTTGGGCCAATTTTTATTTTTTGCAGGATTGAGCTAATTTTTGGCAGACTGACTTGTTTTGACATGAAAAGCATCATTGCATAATTGTTTTTGTTGATTTGCGCTTCGTTTTCGAGAAATAACGTATGCAAAAAAACTCAGTTTACCGAGCGGCATGTTTTGGAGCGAATCCTTCCAAGGTGGATTTTGACACGGTGCAAACTTAAAGTGCCACTGAAACGAAATTTTCGTACTCTCTTTTATTAGCCCAATTTGTAGTTTCAAACGTGGTTAAAATAATGGTGAACTTTATTTCTGTCAGATCCTAACGGAAAGTGCTTTTTTTAGCTGCTGAAATCGACTTTTTGGAGCAAAACTGTGTCCGGGCTCTGGAACCGAATTTAAGGACCTTGTGACGTCA